TGTGTGTGTGTGTGTGAGAGAGAGAGAGAGAGTGTGAGAATGTGTGTGAGAGAGAGAGTGTGTGAGAATGTGTGTCTGTGAGAGAGAATGTGTGAGAGAGTGTGTTTGTGTGTGTGTGAGTGCATTTGTGTGTGTGAGAGAGAGAGCGTGTGTCTGTGTGTGTGTGTGGGAGAGTATGTTTGTGTGTGGGAGTGTGAGTTTGTGGGAGAGTGACAGTGTGTATGTGTGAGACAGTGAGAGTGTATGTGTGCTTGAGAGACTATGTGTTTATGAGAGAGTATCTGTTGCATGGTTTCCATATCCACATACAGAGACATACTCTCCCACACACGCACACACACAAACACACACATTCTCACTCTCCCTCTCCCTCACACACATTCTCACTCTCTCTTTCTCACATGCACACACAAACACTCTCTCTCACACACACATACTCTCACTCACGAAAACATTGTCTGACTCACACATGGTTACTCACTCTCACACACACATTCTCACTCTCCCTCACACACATACTGTCTCTCACACACACACACAAACACACACTCTCTCTTTCACACACACATACGTGATTCTATGGAGTGAATTAGTATTATGCAGATACATTCTATTTTATTCAAAAAGCACACAATTCATGGACAGTCACTCAATGTCAGTCATTCCTACATTAAAAACATACTCCAAACTAAAACTCAAACAGATTCTAAACAAGGCTTCACACTGACATACATTGTCTGACCTAAAATATCACATCTTTCCACTGATAAAACCTTTAGTTTTCTCAGGACTGTGACTTCAAAGGAATTTGGGGATTTACATATGCATATTAATCAATTAAAATGTTCTAACTGATTAAAGATTTAATAGCATTTTAGGTTTGTTTGGTGCATCCTCATAAGTGGTGTGATCCTTTGTGATCTTTTACTTATAAATTCTGTGTCTGATACTACCTCTCTCACTTACACCTGAAGAAGGAGTAAGGTTCTGTGGAACACAACCCATCAAGCCTTATGCTATGATTGTTTATTATATCATTCCTCATCTCAGTTATGATTCATTAACCAATAATGCGACATCCTACCTTAATCCCCTCTCCCTCCTGCCTGACAGCTGTAAATCCAGGGATGTTCAGCTGCAATGTTCCCACTCTTCAAGCCATGTTTTCAGTATATTCATGATATCCTCACTGTTGTAATTCATGTATCAGGGCATCTGGTTCTTTCAAACCTGCAGCATTGTGCATTCTCTTTCCACTGAAAGAATTATCCTCCTTGCCAAAGTGTATGATCTCCCATTTCACACATTTCATCCAGCTGCAATTTTTGCCCACGTATTTAATCTCTGCATCCATTCAGTCGCTATTCTCAGAAATTCCCTTTCAAGAGCTCTCACCGCGGGACTGGATTCAGAAAATCATCAGAACGCTCTATACATCAGTGCACCCAACACCAGGCAGTGGCCATACACCTGCTCTGCATTTGGGGAGGGGCTCATTAATTCATCCAACCTGTTGAGATACCAGTGAGTTCATACTGAGATGAGAACTTTTAAATGTTCCAACTATGAGGAGAGTTTTAAAAGCAGCAATAACCTGCTGAGACACCAATACACTCACACAAGAGAGAAGCCATTCACCTGCTCTGTGTAGGAAGGGACTGAGTCGGTCATCTGCCCTGGTGACACACCAGTAAATTCATATTGAGGACAGGCCATTCACCTGCTCCACGCGGGTAAGGGAATTCACTTGTGCATCCCATCTTCTGAGATACCAATGCCTTCCCATCGAGGAGAAGCTGTTCATCTGCTCTGTTTGTGGGAAGGAATTCACTCAGCCATCCAACCTGCTGCAATATCAGCGAGTTCACAACTGACTGTAGGGGTTTGATTCTAGTGATTTTACTACCGCTCATCATATCCAGGACCAAACTAGCAAGTTATACCTGAGCAGTGCAAGAAATGTTCCAGCCACTTTCTTCCATGGTTCAGGGCTCCTAGACATAGAACAGATGATCCTTTACAACTGTGTTTAGAGTCAGAAATAACAATGATGAAGGCTGAAAATGTGCTATCAAATCGCAGATTAGTGTTGAAATATGACCTTTTCTGACTGGAAGTGAATTAATAGTTTCATTGGTAAATAAAAAACATGAACAAAGCCTTCCATTGCTAATATGTCATCTTTCAGCCTTTTCTTTCCTGAGGAAAAGAGCTTCAGGCTTTCATGGTTATTACAAGATATCCCTTCATGTGATCTTTGTGGTTGAATGTTTACTTTCCTTGTCCTTGTGAATTATGACAGCAGCAGAAATGTTTCATATCTGAGGGATTTCAGTTTGGGCTATTTGCATTTACAACATTCTCAGATTTTCTGAAGAAGGATCTAGGCCCGAAACGTCAGCTTTCCTGCTCCTCTGATCCTGCTTGGCCTGCTGTGTTCATCCAGTTCTACACCCTGTTATCTCATTTTCTCAAGAAGGGTCTAGGCCCAAAACGTCAGCCTTCTGCTCCTCTGATGCGGCTTGGCCTGCTGAGTTCATCCAGCTCTACACCTTGTTATTTCTGAAGAAGGGTCCAGGCCCAAAACGTCAGCTTTCCTGCTCCTCTAATGCTACTTGGCCTGCTGTGTTCATCCAGCTCTACACCTTGTTATCCCATTGTCTGAAGAAGGGTCTAGGCCCGAAATGTCAGCTTTCCTGCTCCTCTGATGCTGCTTGGCCTGCTGTGTTCATCTAGCTCTACACCTTGTTATCTCTGATTTTCTGAAGAAGGGTCTAAGCCTGAAACGTCAGCTTTCCTGCTCCTCTGATGCTGCTTGGCCTGCTGTGTTCATCCAGCTCTACACCTTCTTATCTCAGATTCTCCAGCATCTGCAGTTCCTACTATCTCTGGATCTTGCTGTTTGTGGTTTTAAACAGATGGAACTCTGTGACGCTGGAGCAAACATTTTGCAGCATTGTTTAATTTTTAAGCCAAGCAAGTTCCCTGTGATTGGCACTGCCCTGAGAAATTAACGACCAAATGGCTGATATCCATTTTGTTGCTTTGAAAGAGACGCAGTATGTGTACATTTTCTTTCTGTTTACAAATATCAGGGGCTTGTGTACGAACACACATAGCTTCCAGTGCATGCAAATGCACCACACCGTGTGCTGGACTAACAACTCTAATTCCCAGCAATTAGTAATTGTATTCAGTAACAATGGAACACTTTGAAAGTGTTGTCCAATTCAGAGTTGCAATAAATGCTGGACACAGTTTTTTGAATTTTGCGAGAATGGACTGATTGAGTATGGTCAATACCTTGCCATTGCAAATAATCAAAGGGACATAATGTTTGATATGATCAGCCAGTCTTCAGGATTATGGCCGACATGCCTGCCATGACACTGGGACAGAATATCATGTCCAAGACTACACATCTATGTGATAGGAAGAACTCTTTTTTTGCTTGGTCGGCAGCATTCTGTTAGTATTGAATACCAATCCTGTTACTCCTAATTGTAGCAGCAGTTTGAATCAGCTGGCTTCACTTGATGCTCAAATGTTTAAGATACCTTGACAATACAGGGTAATCTGAGGTACACGGGGCACTTACTAGGGTGAACTATGATAGCCTGTGTCTTGTCATGAGCAGTTTGCACAATAATTGTCAAGAGATCAGATGATATTGTCATGGGATCCTTATTGGGTTCCAGGAAAAACATGCCATCAATGGAATGATACCGAACCTATCTCTCTTTTACACAGAGAATGGTTCATATGTGGAATGAATTGCCAGAGGAAGTGGTGGATGCAGGTACAGTTCCAACAATTAAAAGACATTTGGATAATTTAAAAAAAACAGATTAGGCATCATTCCATTGATGACACGTTTCTCCTGCAACTCAATAAGGATGTTTGCACGGATCCCATGACAATACCATTTTATCTCTTGCAATGTATTTTGCAAACTCATGACAAGCCAAAGGCTATCACATTTCAGCCCGAGAGTGCAAGCACCACTTCCTCTGGCAGTTCATTCCAGCAATGAACCACTCTCTATGTGAAAATGTTGCCCAGCTTCTCCTTTTTAAATCTTTCTCCTCTTAACTTAAAAAACATGCTCCCTAGTTTTGAACTCCCCACCCTAGGGAAAAGACTCTTGCTATTCACGTTATCTTGTTGGAATTGAGAATGGAGGAAACTGGAAGAGAATCCTATCCCCAGTGAGAATTCGCTGGTGTGTTAGGAGGTGGGATGACTGAGTGAATCCTTTCCCACACTCAGTACAGGTGAACAGCCTCTCCCCAATACGCTCACGCAGTGAGTTGAGATGATTGCCTGAATGCAGTCCTACAGTGAGAGCATCTGAACAGCCTCATGTTAGAGTGAATACATTGATGACATGTCAATTCTCCAAACTTTTAAAGCATTTCCCATAGTCTGGGCATCTAAAAGATCTCCCTCTAGTGTGAAGTATCTGGTTTAGTGAGTTGGGATGATTATTTAAACTCAATCCCTCAGTCAGGGCACCTGAACGGTCTCTTCTCAGTTGGAACATGTTGGTGGGACATCAGGTTCTGGGAGCATTTATAGCATTTCCCGCAGTCTAGGTATTTAAATGATCTTTTGTCAGTGTGAATCTGCTGGTGTCTCAGCAACTGGGATGACTGAATGAATCACTTCCCACTCTCAGTGCAGGTGAATGGCCTTTCCCAAGTGTGAACCCACTGGTGTACAGTGAGTTGAGATGATCACTTGAACCTAGTCCCACAGTGACAGCCCCTGAATGGTCTCTCCTGGGTGTGAACACGTTGATGGGACATCAGTGGTCCAGAATTTTTATAATGCTTCCCGCAGTCTGGAAATTTAAAAGGTCTCTCTTCAGTGTGAGCATGCTGGTGTGTCGGCATGTGGGATGACTGAGTGAATCCTTTTCCACATTCAAAGCAAGAGAACAGCATCTCTCCAGTCTGTACTCGCTGGTGTGTCACCTGTCTGGATAACTGAGTGAATCTCTTCCCACACTCGGGGCAGATGAACGGTCTCTCCCCAGTGTGACTGCGGTGATGAGTCTACAGTTCTGATGGGTAATTGAATTTCTGCCCACAATCTCCATATTTCTAAGGCTTTTTCTCAGAACAATTGGTGCCTTTATCTGCCGTGGTCAAAGGCTGATGATATTCAGGCCCCAGTGAACTGAATAACTCAGACACCGATGCAATATTTGGTTTGAGTTTTGCTGACTGCAAGTCCTTTCCTTCTATATCCTGTGAAACTGTATTTGAAAACAACGTGGGAAGTGAGAAACACAAGGCAGGTTGTGAAATCAAGCCAATAACCTGATAATTTGGGGAGCACGCCCTCGGAAAACGTGACCATGAAAGCTGTTGGACTGTTGTAGAAACTCAACTTGTTCACAAATGCCTTCAGGAAAGAGAAGCTGCCTCCTGTCTGGATTTACACTAGATTCTGGTCTCTGTGGGAGGAGAGAGAGCTGGGAATAGCAGGAGACAAACTAAAGGGACATTTTCCTCCACTTAATCAGGAGGAAGACTGAAGCTATTGCCTTCAGTGTCCGCTACTATCCCCACTTCCGATCTACCAATAGTGGCCTCAGAAGTATAATAATACAAAAAAAAAGTCTCCAGCATCTGCAGTACGCTGCCATTCAAATTTTATTGTTATCTCCAATAATCTGCGCCTTCCACTGCGAGTTGCGGGACCCCACTCTCAGTTAACAGGGAACTGGTACTGTCTTTTCTGTGGAGACCCCCCATCTCTCTGCCGGATCAATTGCTCCCTCTGACCGACCTCATTCTCCTCGACTGTGCATCTGTCCATCACCAGCACTTTCTCCATGCACTGCTCCCACTGTGACTTCAAGAATCAATATCAATCCTGGAAACAGGTCAGTGCAGATTAACCACAAAGTCGTTTCTGGAATGTAGATGGGTATTCCACCTTCTGTGAAGCTGAGGTCCAAAGCTGCTGCCCACGCCTTACCTTGAAGCAAGACTCATTCCTCCATCACTCCCACACTTGCTGATCTCCACTGGCTCCTCGTTAAGCAGTGTCCTTATTTTAAAATCCTTATTCATGAACTCAAATCTTTCCATGTCTCACCCTTCCCTACCTCAGTAACCCCGTTGACCCTCACGGATATCCAGATTGCACTGCTCAAATACTGATCCCTTCTGCATTCCAATGAGATTGCTCCACTTTCACTTCCTGAGGCCCTAAGCTCTGGAATTCTCTCCCTATATCCTCCCCATCTGTACCTCACAGTCCTTCAAGAATTTTCTGAAAAACATTTATTTGACTAAACTTTTTATGGCTGGTTCTGTACTTTCTTATTTAATGCTCCTGAGAAGCATCTTAAGACTTTACATGATATTAAAAGGGTGATCTAAGTTGTTATTGTACAATATAAAGAGGCAATCACCTCTTGCATATTTGAAATCTGCTACAGTTCTTTGCAGCCTTTCAATGTGAAGTTGCACAACTAACGTGAATAAAAGTTGGAGTGGTAAAAGATTGAGCATCCACTCAGAACTGAGCCATATTGACAAACACAGGGAAACACACAGACAATCCAGAGAGTACACATTGAGGGATGATATGTCTCCATCTCAGCAATCAGTACGCTCAGCAACTGAGGATTCACAGATTAGAGAATTCCAAAGATTCACAGCCATTTGAGTGAAAATTATGCCCCCACTTTTAATACTAAATGGCTTACACATGATGAAGAGAATGTAAGGCCATTTCTGGACAAACCATTCAGGAATAAACACTCTCCGTGCAACAACACTGTCAAACTATTTCTGAATTTTAGACGACTCAATGAGATGTTGTTCAAAACATTGTTCAAAACTCGAGAGAGAACAGGCACATCTTATTTCACCTCCATGTCAACCATCTCATCTCATGGACCAATTCAGTGGACGTGTTAGCAGAGGGGCAACTAACAAAGAGAAGAAACTCAGGAAAGAGATGGAGGTCATTGGACCTGGTAAGCTGCTTTGAAAGAGCAGTTGTGGTTCATTGATCAAGGGTGAGATTGTGCCAGCGAAAACAGCAGGAAGTAAATTCTATCCTATGACTACCCATATTTTCTCTCTCACCACTGTCTCTACCATCAGTGCTTGTCAGTAGAGTCACTCGTAGAGCTTTTTTTTACAGTATGGCCGAGGCCCTTTAGCCTATCTTGTGCCCCAATGTCATCAAACATCCATTTGTTTAATACCATTTTCCAGCATTTGGCCTTGTATGCTTTCAAGTGTTCGTCTAAAGGAGGGTGGGAACAGTTCATTCACATCACAGGGAGACAGCCAACATCGAACCTAAACCTTAGGTTCTCCCTTTTACAAATCTCTCGCGCGTTTCCCAAGGAACTTGTCGAGCTTGTTTCAGTGTTGAGCGCATGCGTTCCAACCCCTTGCCGACGTAATCGAGTGGGCGGGACCTCCATACTGCACGTGACCAAGAGGGGCACTGATTGATTCATTGATATGATTCTCGGTCTTGTGCCGTGGTTGTGTCCCTGCTTTAAGTTCTATAGCATCGCTGGACAGGTTCATTGGCATATATCTTGCAGCCCGAAGCTGGAGAAAAAAAAACAGAAATTGCTGGAGAAACCGGTCTAACGACGAGACAGGCAGAGGATTGGGAGTGAGACAACTGGAGTGGAGGAGGAATTTCTTCTCTCAGAGGGTGGTATTCTGTGGATTTCTTTACCATACAGCCTATCGAGTTTTGGTTGTGAAGTATGTTCAAGTTTGAGATAGATTTTTAATCAATGTGGGAATCAAGGGTTTACCATTATCAAACTGAAAATAACAGCAGGCACTTCACAGACGCATTTAAAACACTGACATGTTCTATATGAGGACGAGACTTTAATTGATTGTTCACCCCGAAGAGACACAACGAATCCTCCAACTTGCAGAAATTGTGGCTACGTGGGGATTGTGGTAAAGGATTTAATTATCCAAAACTGTTAGAAATCCATCAGCACAGTCACACTGGAGAGAAATCACGGAAATGTGAGGACTGTGATAAAGAATTCAATTACCCATCTGAGCTGGAAATCATCGATACGGTTACACTCGGGAAAAACCATCCACCTGTTCTGTGTATGGGGAACGATTCACAAAGTCAGCCACCCTTGTTATACATCAGTGAGTTCACACTGGGAAAACGTAGTTCATTTGTTCCAAGTATGGGAAGAGATTCAGCAATTCATCCACCCTGCTGAGACACCAGCAACGCCACACTGGGGAAAGACAATTTACCTGTACTTTGTGTGGAAAAGAATTCACTCAGTCTTCCATCCTCACTGCACACCAAACCACTTATATTGGAGAGAAGCCATTCACCTGCCCTCTGTGTGGGAAGAGAGTTACTAAGTTATCTAATCAGATAACATATCAAGTTTATAAATGTCTGCAGGGCTTCAATTCTGCTGTTAATCACATCCAGAAATGACAGTCTGATAATATTTGGATTATTTTTGCTGATTTTAAAAACCCCTATGCCTAGCAAAAGTTTAATATTATGGAAATGTTTCAGATTCAATTTTTAAGCAAACATTTTTATCAGATGGAACCTGCATCAAAAACTGGTCTGAGATCTATTCAAGATGCACTTGATAAGGTTATATCAAGAAATCAAAACTGTCTGTGACAATGAAGATCTATATGCTATACTTGATGGGATCAATACTGTCCTTGATCCAACCATCACCAAAGTTGCCCACCTGAAACTAGGAAATACCAGGCCTCCCACTTGCAGGAGTAGACAGATGTCTCACTCAGTTAAACAAGACTGGGAGCTGTAATTCTGTGAAACAGAGTTTTCCCAGTCTCCACTTGATGTTCTCCCACAGGTTCCTGTCATGCTTGAGTTGGACAAATGAAAGCTGGGTGAAGGTTGAAAATGGCGTTGGTCTCTTTGCAAGCAGAGAGGCACTTCAAAGGATAGAATTCCAATTGAACTAATCAAGCACAGAAAGTCCCATCTACTATCACACCCTCATGACCTCATCTTCTCTGTCAGGAGGACAGAACTGTTTCACAGGAAACACATGATCCAAACATCATTACAATTTACATAAACATTACACAGAATTGTGAAATTTCAAATCATGCAGTACTGGATGTGGGGTGAGCAGTCTGATAATTTAGCAACAGTGGAGAAATGGTACTGAGTTGGAGCTGGGAGTTGACAATGTGAAAATGATCATCTTACTTCTGGATGACATTATCTGATGGCAGCATGCAGGTCAGCAAAATCAGAGCTAAGTTCAAGGATTTTAGAGAGGAAAGGAATGTCTGAAGTGGAGGGTTAGCCTGCTCAGGAGAGTCAAGTTTTCTTTAAATAAGATTGGGGGATTTAAAGGCATGAAGGACAGAATGAGGAGACAGAATGAACTGTTCACAATATCGGCAAACATGGGTAGGTTGGATGCTTTGCATGTTAGTGGGAATAGGTTCAGTGGAGTAGGAGGTGCATCTTGTCGACAAGACAAGCTCTGAAAGGATGAAGGGACAAAATTTAATTGGATAAAGATGGGAATTCTGCGCCCAGTGAGCTATTGGAAGGGAGGGAAAGAGTAGGAGCAGATGATTGGATTGTCTAAATTTAGTGACAAAGAAGGTCCATGAGCTCCTCCTACTTGTTGGAGGTGAGAATGGAGGAGAGAGGGAGCGCCCATCAAAATGAATTATTGTGAAAATTTAACAGACTGACACAGAGCTGATTTATTTGACTTTTATTCAGTATATCAACACATAATAATGGAAGTTATCAATATCAATGAGCATGGTTGTTTCCAGGAAGTAGTTAACAGCAAAATTCAAATCATGCAGTCACTTATGAATTCGCTGGTGTCTCAGCAGGTTGGATGAGTGAGTGAATCCCTTACCACATTCCATGCAGGAGAATGGCCTCTCCCCAGTGTGACTGCGTTGGTGTACAATGAGGTCAGATGATCGCTTAAACCCAGCCCCACAGTGAGAGCACCTGAAAGGTCTCTCCTCAGTGTGAACACGCTGATGGCGTGTCAGCTCACCAGAACTTTTAAAACACTTTCCACAGTCTGGACATGCAAATGCTCTCTCCTCTGTGTGAACATGTTGGTGGAGGATCAGTACCCTGGAACTTTTAAAGCACTTCCCACAGTCTGAACATTCAAAAGGTCTCTTGTCAGTGTGAACCAGCTGGTGTGTGAGAAGGTGGGATGACTGAGTGAACCCCTTCCCACAATCGCTGCAGATGAATGGTCTCTCTCCAGTGTGGATTCGCTGGTGTTTAGTGAGTTGAGATGATTGCCTGAACCCAGTCCCACAGTGAGAACACCTGAATGGTCTCTTGTCAGTGTGAACATGTTGATGGGATGTGAGATTGCTGGAACGTTTAAAGCACATCCCACAGTCTGGACATTTAAAAGGTCTCTCATCAGTGTGAACACGTAGATGGGACATCAATTCTCCTGAACTTTTATAGCATTTCTCACATTCTGGGCATTTAAACGGTCTCTCCTCAGTGTGAACACGTTGATGGGACATTAGTTCCCCCGAACTTTTAAAGCACTTGCCACAGTCCGGACATTGAAAAGGTCTCTCATCAGTGTGAACACGTAGATGGGACATCAGACTGCTGGTACTTTTATAACACTTCTCACAATCTGGACATTTAAAAGGTCTGTCTTCAGTGTGAACCCGCTGGTGTCTCAGCAGGCTCGATGAATGAGTGAATCCCTTCCCACACTCAGAGCAGATTAATGGTCTCTCTTTGATGTGAACCCACTGGTGTCTCAGAAGATGGGCTGACCGAGCAAATCCCATCCCACACTCTGAGCAGACGAACACTTTCACCCCAGTATAACTGCATTTGTGGTTTGTGAGGCCAGCTGATTGACTGAAGGCTTGTCCACACACACAACACGTGCACGGCTTCTCCCCACTGTGAATGGGACTTGTCCATTCCATGTTCAAAATCTGATAAATTTCTGATTATGACGAATGTGGTGCCTCTCTGAGATCCTGATGTGATGTTTGGTTTGAGGTTCCTGATGGCAAATCCTCCGTTTCTAATGCCCTGTGAAGTTTAATTAGAACAGAATAATGTGAAAGAGAAGAGAACTGACAAAAACACAAAGGCAGGTTATGAAATGGAGCTGAAAGAGTCTGGTAATTTCTGGGGCAGACACTAGAAAGAAGTGACCATGAAAGCTACCAGTTTGTTAAAGAAAACAAATATGCCACCCAGTCTGGACTACACAAGGCTTTGGCTTCAACAGGTGGAAGGAGAGAAGGGAGAACAGGAAAGAGAGAGGGAGATAGCTGGGGAGAAAGAGTGTATGGGGGGGTGGATCAGAAAGAAAGTATGGGGGGGAACAGAATGTGAGTAGTCAGCTATGAGAGAAAGTGTAGCGGGGAAGAAGAGCCAGACTGTGAGAAGGGTGGCCACAATATGAAGCGTGTGACAGCCAGAGAGGGGAATGAGTGTGAGAGCATGAGGAGGGAGCGAGGAAGAGGATAAAAGGGAATCTAAGAGAATGAGGGGGTAGTCAGTATATTATACAGGGAGGGAATCAGGAGGATTGACCTTTCACCCGCTGTCCCTCTCCTGGTCACTGGGAACCTGATGCCCCATCCACTCATCAGACACCACCAAGTGGATCGTGCGTGCACTGATTTCCACCTGAACCCGTTTACCAGAAAATGGCCTGGAGCTGCAAGCATGGCTCCTTCAGCATCTAATTCAGGATTTGGGGCCACCCCAACTCACACCTCCATTCCTTTCCTCACCTGCCCCACCCCAACTTCTTCACCGTGGCTCCATTCCCTACCCTGCTTTCCCCTGTCCACCACACCAATTATGATTACTCTGCCATGTATCTTCTTATAAAGTGATTTGACACTTCTTTTCCTTGTGGAAATACCCTGAGATTTGATTTCTGGGTGGTTATAGGAATAGGAAGGGTTTAAAGGGAAATGGGCCAAAAGCTGCAAATGGGACTGGATTAATTTAGGATTTTTTTCAGAATGGAGTGTTGTAACTAGTGCTGTTCCACAGGGATCAGTGTGAGAACTTTGCTTTTTGTGGTTTAGAGAAATAATTTGGAGGAAACCGTAGCTGGTCTAATTAGTAAGTTTGCAGGTGATACAAAGACTGGTGGAGTTGCGGATAGTGAGGAGGATTGTCAGAGGATACAGCAGGACGTAGATCAGTTGGAGGCATGGGCAGAAAAAATGGCAGATGAAGCTCAATCCAGACAAATTGCATTTTGGAAGGTCAATTGCAGGTGGAATTTATACAGTGAATGGCAGAACCATTAGCAGAGGGATCCGAGTGTGCAAGCCCACAGATTATTGAAGGCGCTGGCACAAGTAGATAAAGTAGTAAGAAAAATGCCTATGGCATGCTTGCCTTCATTGGAAGGTGCATTGAGTACAAGGATAAGCAAGTTATGCTGCAGATTTATGGAACTTTAGTTAGGCCACACTTGGAATATAGCGTACAGTCTGGTCACCACACTACCAGAAGAATGTGGATGCTTTGGAGAGGGTACAGAAAAGGTTTACCAGGATGTTGCCTGGTATGAGGGATTTTAGCTATTAAGAAAGGTTGGATAGACTGGGAGACGATTTGGACTGCAGATGCTGGAAGCCAAAGTCTATAGGTGTGAGGCTGGAATAGCACAGCAGGTCAGACAGCATCAGAGGAGCAGGAAAGTCAATGTTTCGGGCCGAAACCCTTCGTCAGGACTCAGACTGGGTTTGTTTTCACTGGAATGTAGAAAGTTGAGGGGAAACCAGATAGAAGTTTATAAGATTGTGAATGGCATGGATAGAGTGAAAAGTATAAGGCTTTTTTCTAGGGTGGAGGGGGACACAGGTTCAAGATGTGGAGGGGGAGTGGGTAGGTGGGGGCGGGTGCATTTAAAAGGAAATGTGCGAGGCACATTTTCCACACAGAGAGTGGTGAGTGCCCGGAACACATTGCCAGAGGACATGATGGAAGCAGATGCAAGAGCAGCATTGAAGGAGCACCTGGACGAATTCATGAAGAGGAAGGGAATAGAGGCATAGGAATCCTGTAAGTGAAGACAGTTTTAGCATAGAAGGGCAAAATGTGTCAGTGCAGGCTTGCAGGCCTGAAGAGCCAATTCCTGTTCTGTACTGTTCTTTGTTCTATATCTGGTCGGCATGGACATGTTGGACCAAAGGGTCTTTATCCGTGCTGAATATCTCTATGACTCGACTCTCCCCACTGGTTCCCCACATATACCTCCCCTGAAGATATTGACTCTGAGTGACTTAAATTCCAATTTTTCTATTTTCTTCTCTATCCCTGATAGTGAATATTCAATGTTATGGAATGATAAAGCACATATGGAAGCCATTCAGCCCATCATGTCTGTGTTGACTCTTTGAATGTTCTATCTAATTAATTCCACATCCTATTGTCAAAACAAGGCCTATCTACTGTCATAAGGCAAGAATGGAAAGGTTTTCCCTTTGGTTACTTCTCAGACCTATTCAACACTGTGGATTGATCAATAACTTAATGTACTCAGCATATATTAAGTGTTCACTGGTTAATTAAGCACAGTACTGCAGAGTTTAATTCAATAAATCTCCACATCCCATATCTTACCATGGCATTATTAATGTGAAGCCAAGCTAACACAGAAACAATGCAATAGCAGAAGTAATATCACATTTGCACATCTCCAAACACTGAAACACCAGTCAAATCATTGACAGTTCTCAGCAGTCTGGAGAAACAGCAGTGAAGAAAGCCATCATGAAGGGAGCTGATCATCTGTTCAAGTCCACTGCCTTGCCTACTGCCTACATAATCAAATTAAGTAAAAACCAAAAGAACTGTGCATGCTGGAAATCAGAAACAAAAACAGAAATTGCTGGATGAGCTCAGCAGGTCTGGCAGCATCTGTGGAGAGAAATCAGAGTTAACGTTTTGTGTCCAGTGACCCTTCCTCAATACTGCAATTTTTGTTTTTGTTTCATCACCAAACTCTCCACTCCTGATCACTTTACATTCACAGCTCAAGACAATTCCACCAAGTCAGACTGATCCTCCCCCTGGGATCCCACTCCCTATTACTACTCATCAGACTCATAACTCTGCGGTTTCTCCAAACCTCCAACAAACCTTAGCATACTCCCTGCTACAGGCAGTGGGAAAGCGATGCTCATTTCAACACACAAGGAACAACCACCCATTCCTTTTACATCAACTGATTCATGGGGCGTGAAGTAACATCAAAACCACTGTTAAAAAGGAGCTAAGCTGTAAGATCAAACAGGTAAATCCACATGATAAAATTGAAGATCAAAGCTACAACAGCTCAAGGCCATTTGGGGACAGGCAATAAATGCTGGCCCAGCCAGAAAGGCCCAAATCCACTAAATCCAGAAAACAATGCTGTAGTATATTTTCCTGCAAACATATTGGGAATTTTTGTTTTTTAAGCTCGCATTATTTCCGTAGTGTTTTGTTCTTACTTTTATTGATTGCCATTCCCTACTCCACGCTCACATCATAGCGAACAAGCTCACCAATGGCAGTGTCTTTACCCATGATCCAAAGCGATGATGAATGTCCTTTATCTTTGTCACAGGAGCACATTGCGCAGACGCAGTAACGCCTAGAGTTTAGGACACACGGAGTGAGTGATAACAATGAGCAGAGACGTGTTTTTCTTCTCGTCTGCGGGCGGTTAGGCTGCGAGACCACGGAAAGAATACCGGAGGCATAGGAGGACAGGAAGTGTTAATATACACTTATTAAGCACATCAAACTTCGATTAACCACCTGCAAGTTCCGTGTTTACATCCGTGAGGCTTTACGCGGGATCAGGTTCTGATGAACAATCACCATCTTGGCTCCTCCTGGTGTTCAGCGCATGCGTGATTGGCTCTGCGTCGCACAGTGGGTGGGACTTCAGGGCCTCCAATCCCACAAGGTCCTTGCGCCCGGTGATCCATTACAGATAATTGGCAGCTTCAGCCATCCCAGGCTATGGTTCTGATCATTCTGAGAGGCTGGAGCACTGCAGAGTTACCTGAAAGGGCTGCTCCTTAACGATTAGTGACAATGCGGCCTCCCAATCCTGATCTTTCAATTGTGCAGTTTTGTCGGAGGAGGGGAGAGGAGGTCATAAAAATGAGGGCGGCTGGGTAAATCAGAGGATTTCCAACTCGATTTGCTTGTGCTTATACGGTGATTTCTAGGGCTTAATTGAGCAGGATCTCTTTGTGAATTGTGGGGTTGGGGGTTTGAATGGGGAGGGTTTCCGTAGCTGAAACTAAGAAATAGGTACAGAAATAGGCCATTGAGCCTGCTCTGTGATACATTAAGATTTGATCTGATTGTGGATTCTCCCATGATATTCCCTATGCCTGAACAATCCCGGTGAGGGAGAACACAACATCACTGGGTACATTGGTGCCGACCATAACTGGTTGGTATCTTAGAATACAGAATGTTCCATTAACACGGGGAGCTACATTCTGATTTATTTGAAAGGTTTCCTTAGCTTACCTTGGGAACTTTGTTGATGAATTTAGCTTCTTTTAGTTTGCCTGAATCACATGTTTTGGGGAACAAGAGAGGAATGAATATTCCATAGAAACTAAAAGTGTCTGCAGTGAATTTCAGTTCGAGCTGATCATGATCCTAACATTGTTGTCTTCTTGCAAACAAGATTCTGAAACCAAACTCACTTTGAGATTGATTAAATTGTGTTAATCATCAGATGAGGAATATCATTGGCCTTTGAATGTGGAAGGAGAAATGGTTTGCAAAAAGATTTCAAACAGCAGCATGACTGGAGTGGCACCAAGCCACAGATATACTCACCCAAATGAGAGTATTCCTGTGAACTGGCTGTGGAAGGACCAGTTAAACAGCCTGATAAACATTACATTGTGGATGTGATGACAACTGATCACCTAAGTTGGACAGACATAATGACACCCACACCATGGAGAAACCATAGAAATATATGTTCTGTGGGAATGTATTCAAGTGTCTGTCTGTGTTGGGAATTCATCAATGCATTCAGACTGGGAAGAGACTTTTCACCTGTACTGAACCTGGGACTGGATTTTCTCATTTATCCAGTTTGCTGAGATATCACTTTATCCACTCTGATCTGACAATGTTTAAATGTTCGGACTGCAATATGAACTTTATAAACAGCAGAAACACCAATACATTCAGACTGGAGAGAAGCCATTTACCTGCTGGGTTTGTGGAAAGGAATTCACTTGTTCATCTAATTTTCTGAAACACCAATTAACTCACGCTGGGGGGAGAGACCATTTTTCTGCTGTGGCTGCGTGGAGGGATTCATTGGGTAATTCACCCTGCTGCTGCACCGGCAAATTCATACAGCAGAGAAGCCCCATTTCCTTTATGGGATGAGGGCATCGCTGGCGAGGCAGCATTTATTGCCCATCCCTAGTTGCCCAGAGGGCAGTTCAGAGTCAACCACATTGCTGTGGTTCTGGAGTCACATGTAGGCCAGACCACATAAGGATGGCAAATTTCCTTCCCTAAAGGACATTAGTGAACAGATGGGTTTTTCCAACAACCGACAATGGATTCACAGTCATCATTAGACTCTTAATTCCAGATATTTACTGAATTCAAATTCCACCATCTGCCATGGCAGGATTTGAACCCAGGTCCCCAGAACGTTGGGTGTCTGGAATAACAGTCCAGCGATAATACCACTATGCCATCGCCTCCCTATGTCTGGGTTAATTCTGAGGAATGTGAGGAATATGTCCTAGCCTCTCTCTTGCATGGTTCCAAAGTAGACACGGAAAGAAGGCTCCTTTATGACTGTGTTCAGAGTCTGACAAAAGGACACATTAGATGGGGTCTGTCAAGACCCCTCAGTCTCAATCAAGTTACCTCTGAATCTTCTAAACTTCAGTGCAAACAAGCCCGGTCTGTTCACCATTTCTTTGTAAAACTGCCATCCAATTCCTGTTATTTGTTTGGTAAACCTTCTCTGGATTGCTTCCTTCAGATCTGAAAATAACTAGTAATTTTGGTGCAAAGATTTCAAATGTTTCTGTGACCTTCCTGAGGTGACCATTGTCATGTCAAAACAACAAATTGCATTTAGATAGACCAGTCTCTCAATTTGACCTCTTCCCATTTGCCAGCATTTGGCCCATATTGCTCTGATCCTTTCTATTCATATACCCATCTAGGTGTCTTTTAAATATTTGTAATTGTACTAACCTACCTCACATTCTCTAGCAGCTTGTTCCACACATTAACCACACTCTTTCAGAAAAAGTTGCCCCCAGGTTCCTTTTAAATCATTCTCTTCTCACCTTACACCTATGTTGTCTAGTTTTGAATCCCCTACCCTGGGGAAAATGCTTTGATTATTCACCCTATTCATGTCCCTCATGATTTAATAAACCACTATAAGGTTACCCCTCAGCCTCTGATGCTCCAGGGAAAAATGCCCCAGCCTAATCAGCCTTTCCGTTTATCTCACACTCTCCAATCCTGGAAACATCATTATAAACCTTTTCTGAACTCTTTCAGGTTTAACAACACCATTCGTATAGCAGGGAGACCAGAATTTAATGCAGTTTTCTAAAAGTGGGCTCAGCAATGTCCTGTACAGCCACAACATGACCTCCCAACTCCTATATTCAATGCAGTGGCTAATGAAGGCAAGCATGTCAAACACCTTCTTCCCCATACTTTCTATCTCTGACTCCACTTTCAATGAACAATGCACTTGCACCCCCAGGTGTCTTTGTTCAGCCAAGATTCCCTCGGGCCTGACAGTTAACTGTTTAAGTCATGCCTTGGCTTGCCTCACCAAAATGCAACACCTCCCATTTATCTAAATTAAACTCCATCTGCCAGTCCTCAGCCTGTTGGCCTATCTGATCAAGGTCCTATTGTATTCTGAGATAACCTTCCTCACCGTGCACTACACTACCAATTTTGGTGTCATTTGCAAACTTCCTAACCATAGATAGTTCTGAGGATGGAGGAGATTACAGTGATAGGGACAGTTGTAAGGCTGGAGGGAATTACAGAGATGGGGAGGGTTGAGAGACTGCAGGAGATTGTCATCCAAACAGCACTCTGATGTACTTACAACACATGCAATGCACAATTCAAAAAGGCAGTTCACCACTGCTTTGTTCAAGTCAAATAAATTTGTAGAATGAATACTGGTCTGGGCAACAAACAGCCACCCCATGCATAATTTAAAATTAAGATGCGTTTCTGTTTTATGGAGAGGTAGCAGAAGCTCAGATAATTCTCCTTGGAGCCGAGAAGGTTAAACAGTGATTTTAGTGTAGGTGTAGATTTGTTTCCAGGATATTTCATGTGCAGAGAGAGAGAGACATTATTAATATTGTCACAATGTTTGGTAACCACAGAACACAGCTTTCAGATAATTGGCAAATAATATCGGGTGAAAATGTGAAGATTATGTGAACCTGTAAGAATCTAAACATCAGCTGGATGCGGACTTCGCAGCAATACAGTGTAGAGCTGGAGGAACACAGGTCAGCGAGCATCAGAGGAGCAGGAAACGTTTTCGACGTTTCGGGTTTACACCCTTCACCCTTGCACACTGGATTGACTCTGACTCTAACATATGCAGTTCTTTCTGTCTGCAGATTTGGCAGTTGCTCATAAGAGATTTATGATTTGCAGACTTATGGCAAAGCGTAGGGGAGTTGGGCTCGATTTGACCATAAGATCATTTGTGGTGATTCTCGAGTGAGAGGGTACAGCCGTAATAGGCTGAATGGCCACAAACCCCTCCCTGTGCTCTGTGATACGGCTCCATTCACTGTGAAAGATGAAGCTATCCCAGGGAAGCGCTGGGGAAAGCTGCATCTCACATGACAACGGGGCCCAGTTGATTGACGGAAGATATGGGCCAATAGGAGGACGAGGAACGCGTGGAGGACCAAGCGGGCGCGGCTGGTCCTTCAACCAATCAGTGTGAAAGGGGGCGGAGAAAACCGTACGGCACGTGATCACCTGCGCAGTTGGCGTAGTGTCGCTGTGACTGGCGCCTGGGTGCGGGAGGTTAGTACCGTACTGGGGGAGACACAGAGACCAGGAGAAAAATGGAGCCAGTCAAAACTGGGATGTTTTATAAACACCCAGTATATGCCTCTAGATCCAAATTAGAAACTGTAGGTCCTGCGTTTACGGCAAACGGAAAAGCGACTACGGGCCTCAGGCTGGGACAGGCCCGTGCGAACAGCCGCCATTTTTATTGGGGGCAAGTCGCACGGGGGGTGTGCATTGGCATTGTGTGTGTTAGACACATGAATGCTGGGAGGG